TGTGACGATAACATTTATAGCTTTCAACTGTTCTCATGTTTTATTACTTATCTCTTCTCCTCTTTATTTCTTTTTTTTTATTCTTTCAAGCACATCTTTTTCGTTTGCCATGTACTTTCGACTATTTATACGGCAATCTTCTTGAATCTTAACCTTTGAATTTCCTGTTGAATTTTGTAATTTAAATTGATATTTCTAAGAAACCTTCAAATTTGATAAAAAAAAATTTTCCTACTTTTTTGGGGAAGACCATTATGTCGTCCCTCTGGAATTTCCTTGGATTTTCATTAAAATACGTTTTGCTTTCTAATTCTTTTTTTAATTTAATATATTAAATTGACAATCATGTATTCCTAAAAAAAAAATATGATCTTTATTTCATAATCGGTCATTTGACTGGAAACGGTAGAAATAAGTGTATTTAAGGTTTAAAGATTAGCATTAACAGGTTTGTCCAAATTAATAAGTAAGAGGAGTAACTTCGAGTGTTATTACTTTTTAACGCTGTGATAAGGGGAAAGAAAGAAATGCCGTTCTCTTATCTTACGATTATTTGACCTCCGACTAAAACAATACACCGACCGAATCTACAGCTTAAGTAGTTAAAATCCGCTCTCTATCGTTGGTGTAATTACGGGACGGGTACCACCAGGGTGCTAAATACTTATTATACTGGAGCACGCAATGCCCCAGTTCTTCCCGTACCCGGTAATACTTAAACGACCCTAACGTAGGGATCGTCGTTCAACCTGGAATTATATGCATTTTTCACTGGTGAAACCAACTGTGTACCAACGTGTTCCCACTTTCATTCAACCATTTAGCGCACGGTGGTTCTCACGAGTCGTTAACCCCTTTGTCGCTCGCGCCCAATTATTTTCCACGGAATTTTTTCGCTCCTACTCTCTTCGCGATCTTCGACGAATTTGCCGTGTTCAACCGAGTCGAATTTTCGAGGAATTAGAAGGGAGAAAATGGATCTATTTTTGGTGGAAAATTAATCGAGGAGAATTTTCTTCTGTTTCACGAATTCCCAGGGAATTAAAAGGCAGAGAATCAAAAAATTTAGAACAAAAATTGCCTCTTTCTCTTTTTCAACTGTTACCTTAACGAGTCTAAAGGAAAATCCTCTCTCTCAGAGAAACACCACCAGGACCTCCTACTCTATCCCCGAGTTTCAATCGGCACGATGATATTTTTCCAACTGTTAACTTAACGAGTTCGCAGGAATATATTCTCCGTCAAAGAAACACTACCAGTATCTATTATTTTATTCGCGTGTTTCAATCGGCCACGATGATAGGTTTCACCTGTAAACATATTTTTCCATCGTGAGGGTGTTGCGTGTCTAACGGAAGCAATCGACGCGATCTAAATTTTCCAGCTCGCGTTCTCAACTACATTTATCTTCCACGAATCTCGTTAACGGAGCCGCGCTATTGTTCGTTATTTCTTCGATGAAAACCGATTCGAAAGTTTCCCCCTCCCGCTCCACCATTACACCCAGCCCCTCTCCTTTTCACTCTTCCTCCGCTCGTGTCCGAAGGCAAACAAGCGAAGATAATAACCGTTCGTATTTAAAGCCTCGGAAGAAGAAATTGCACGTGAAAAGGTTCTCAAACGACACTTCGATCTCTCTGATCTCCCCACCATTCTCCTTTCCCACCTCTCCACCGTTCCAAATTCACCCGAACCTGATAAAACGCGTTCGATTTAACTTCACGCTCATCCAATTACCGCTCGTTAATCCGACCTTTTCGCGCTTAGGCTTGTGCAAGTGCTATTGACTGCGAAGCCGGTGAACTGCGAGAAGTCCGCTGCTGGGAAAGGAAGAAAGAACGGTGTGGAAGACCTTAATAATACGTGCGGAACGTTTTTTCTTTTTTGGTCGTTCTTTCTTTTTTTCGAAGGAAATCCTAGTAATGGGGGCGAGTTTTGCAGTTCTCGCGGATGGAGAAACATGTAAGGTAGATTTTTACCCCGTGTAAGTTTCGCGGAACTGTGAAAGTTTTATGGGAAGTTGTAGGAAAGATAGTTGGAGAGGAAACGTTCTGTATGCTCGCGTGGATTGCAGTTTCTTTTCTCTGGTGTAGTTTGTTTGACCGATGTTCTTTGGGGAATCTTGGGAAGGAGCATTTTTAGGTTAGGTATCGTTTGGAATTTTTCCATTCAGCGATTGATCGGAGATTTTTAAGAATTTGTATGGAAGAATGTTCTGAGATGCGTTAAAATTGGACACTCTTATCACGCTAGAATTTATAATTTCTACAATTCATTTGAAACAGAAGATTAGATGTTCTTAGAATCTTAGAAACGAGCACTCTTAGTTGTCACATGCGTAACAGATGTCGCTTGGGTTGTTCTGCCGTACCGACGAGCCGAACAATACATCGGTAATCCCGATAGACCAGCACGTCCTAAAAAGCGAAGTCTTAGCCGGCACGAAAATTATTTTACTCGACGCCTCTACACCTGAACACCACATGACCTAAGATAATAAACAGACCTTCGACATCACCAAGCGATATAACAAATGTAAGAACAAATTTCCCAGTTTCACACCACCACCAGACACGCCCCAAACACATCCAAATAACCAATCACCGCACACTTCCACCACCTACGACAGCTTCACCAATCACAACACACACGGTTTCACACCACCACCAGACACGCCCCAAACACACCCAAATAACCAATCACCGCACACTTCCACCACCTACGACAGCTTCACCAATCACAACACACACGTAGTTTATAAAACAGCGAACACCACGCGACACGAAACACAATTTTCCGACCAGTAGAATTAGACATTTCGCGCTCTGTTCACGTTTATTTATAAACACGTAGTTTTAATAGCAAATTGTTGTGCGTTAATAGTCAATCTTTCGTGCACTACCTGCGTCCCCTATCCCGAGTAGATTCCTTAAATGGTCTGACTCGAAAAGAGGGACAATTATCGGTTTCGCAACAAGCATATTGCGATTCGTAACATAGTTTAGTCGTCGCTTCGAATTTTTCCATTCAACGGTTGATTACAGATTTTTAATAGTACGTATCGAAGAATATTCCGAGGCATGTTAAAATTCAGCACTTTTTATCATTTCTACAATTTAGTTCGTTGTTTCGAATCTTCGTTCAATAATTCATCAGAGATCTTCGATAATATCCATCGAAAAATATTCTGAGATGTTCTAAAGTCGAGAAATTTGGATGATCCAAATTTCACTCTACAGATGCAGAATATATTTAGGAAATTTTAGAAACTTTGAAAATTCATACCTAACGGAGACAGTGGAAATTTTCTCGGGAAGTCAGACAGTCCCCTATAGGTACCAATTACGCGTCCAGAAGATCGGCGCCGCGTTGGTTACGCCGTTGCCCCTTATCCACCGTCGAAAATGGAGGTTACACTCGAATATTCCGCTTCTGTTTCAATGTTTTACCGCTCGCAATTTTCTCCAACCCCTACTCAACCTTTCATTCCACGTTTCTCACTACCCCTCGCAATTTTTTCATTTCCATCCACTCCTCTTTATCCTTTTATACTCCCCTCTCAAGTTTCCTAACCTAATTCTGAAAATTTCACCATTGTTCCTACCACACCTCGTCCAACTCAATTTCTCGTTTCATTTCTTTTTCGTCTGCACTCATTTTCTATACGAAAGGTATCAATTTTCTTTCACTTTTCGCGATTTCTAAATCTCCACCAATCGTCGATCGCTAAGTAAATATGTGCTTCGATAAAGTGTAACGATTTTCAAAGAAATAGTAAAACACTTTCATTGAAACCGTAGTTGTACTATTTTTTCACGAAGAATACAGCATCGATTTTCCCAATTTCATCAATTATATCTTGTTTTAACTCTATCGCGATTAAGATATACATTTGAAAAGTATCATTTCCAATAAATAACGTTACTTTTATGTAACCGCGATAATTCTTTAAAAATTGTCACCTTCTATTCACACTGAACTCAAGAGGTGTTCCAAAAACGATCGAATTAGAAAATCTAACAAAATGGCGGCGAATAATCTCGCCATAGAGTAGCATTCGATTTCTCCAATTTCGTCAATTACATCTTATTTCAACTCCATCTTGATTGTGATATTCATTTGAAAAATATCATTTCCAACAAATACTTGAATAATTAATAACATTACTTCAATACAACCACAATAATTCTTTAAAAATCGTCACCTTCTATTCACACTGAACTCAAGAGGTGTTCCAAAAACGATCGAATTAGAAAATCTAACAAAATGGCGGCGAATAATCTCGCCATAGAGTAGCATTCGATTTCTCCAATTTCGTCAATTACATCTTATCTCAACTCCATCCTGATTGTGTTATTCATTTGAAAAATATCATTTCCAACAAATACTTGAATAATTATTAACCTCACTTCAATATAACCACGACAATTCCTTAAAAATCGTCACCTTCTATTCACATTGAACTCAAGAGGTGTTCCAAAAACGATCGAATTAGAAAATCTAACAAAATGGCGGCGAATAATCTCGCCATCGAGTAGCATTCGATTTCTCCAATTTCGTCAATTACATCTTATCTCAACTCCATCCTGATTGTGTTATTCATTTGAAAAATATCATTTCCAACAAATACTTGAATAATTATTAACCTCACTTCAATATAACCACGACAATTCCTTAAAAATCATCACATTCTATTCACACTGAACTCAAGAGGTGTTCCAAAAACGATCGAATTAGAAAATCTAACAAAATGGCGGCGAATAATCTCGCCATAGAGTAGCATTCGATTTCTCCAATTTCGTCAATTACATCGTATTTCAACTCGATCCTGATTGTGATATTCATTTGAAAAATATCATTTCCAACAAATACTTGAATAATTATTAACCTCACTTCAATATAACCACGACAATTCCTTAAAAATCATCACATTCTATTCACATTGAACTCAAGAGGTGTTCCAAAAAACGATCGAATTAGAAAATCTAAAAGAAACCTACCGGAAGAAGTAACAGCATTAGGCAGAGTGGTGCGTCTGACGATGCTCCCGTTGTTAGTGGCTTCCGGCATCACCTGTGAAAATGGCGGTTGCGCCAACGTGGTTGCAGGTGGCGGGGGTTCCCTAAGCAGCCGTATCTTCTGTATCATCTCCCGTATCTCGTATCTCAGTATCCCCAAGAAACACAGTTTCGCGAACGCGATCACACAGAAGCCAAGCACGAACAACAGGTCCGCGGTTTTTCGTAGCCATCGCATCAACGATTCTTCACAGCCTCTCGCGTACGGTTGCTGACAGGTGTCGCTCACGTTTCCGGTTGGTCCACAACAGGTCTGCGGCAATCTTGCCCCGAAGTCCCTTGGCCCGGTCACTCCACAACAGGTGAATTCCTTCTGCAAACGATCCCACTGCTCGCTGAATCTTAGATCCTTGCCGTACTCCATCTACGAGCAGAATTTTGATACCGTAAATGTGTTCGCTTCTTCTTTGCTTCTTCCGAGATTTAAGGAGGAGAGAGTGAGGATTGTGAAAGAGAAGATTGGGTTTGGTAGGGAAAATCTTCGGTGCAGAAAAAATTAGGGAGGTCAAAGAAGAATTGTTTAAGTTTCAAAGAGTTAACCTTTGATGTCAAAAAAATTAGGAAAGTCAAAGGAAAATTGTTTAAGTTTCAAAGGGTTAACCTTCGATGTCAAAAAAATTAGGGATGTCAGAGGAAGATAATTTAGGGGTCAGAAGGTTAACCTTCGATGTCAAAAAAATTAGAGAGGTCAGAAGGTTAACTTTCCATGTCAAAAAAATTAGGGATGTCAGAGGAAGATAATTTAGATTTCAAAAGGTTAACTTTCAATGTCCAAAAAATTAGAAAGATCAAAGAAAAATTGTTTGAGTTTTAAAGGGTTAATTTTCAATGTCCAAAAAATTATGGAGGTCAAAGAAAATTTCTTTAGGTTTCAAAGGGTTAACGGAGTTGAGATTAACACTGTGCAGTCTCGCCAAAAAAGTAAGGAAATAAGAAAACTAGAGGTCACAAAAATGAAGTAGACGAATCACTGTGCAATCTCAGCTCTGTCGATACCGTAAAAATTACATACTTTTAAGATACAAACGACGAAGATTGTAAAACAGAAAACGAGGTTCCCAGGGAAACTCTCCAATGTTAAAAAAATCATAGAGGTGAAAGAAAAATTGCTCAGGTTTTCAAGGGTTAACACAGAGGTTTCACTGTGCAATCTGAACGAAAAAGGCGGAAGAACTGAAACTGTGATGTTGTAAAAAACGGGGAAGATATGAATCAACCGCAACACTTCGACGTCTAGATATCCTCGAAGGCTGAATCTCCAAAGATTTATGCATTTTCCTCGATTTATCGCCTGCAGATTCGAATGTCTGCGTTTTTCCAGTTAATTAAATAAATCGTACTCTTACTAACGCAACGGTAGACACGAAATATCATCGATTTAGGATGCGCCGTGTTGACGGAGGCTAAATTTACTCATGGTTCGCCGAAAGGGACTGGCCACGAGTATTTTTAAGCCGTTCGGTCTCAATATTGAAGGCGTATTTATGGCCCCGAGGATTGACTTGATGTGCGAAACACAGAGGATGCTTGAACCGGTATTTTGTGGTTTTTGGACGGATCGGTGAATTTCTGATCGTAAATTCGGTTTATTGGTTCGAAGATTGACTTAACGGTGCCTCGGTGTAACTATTTTCTGGTTACTAGAGTGATTGATTGTTCGGTGGTTAAGATTCTGAGATGTTTGTAGCAAACTCGAATGTTCAGTCGAACTTCGTTCGAAATATTTCAATCGTTCTCGTTAAATGGTACAATTTGTACTTACGTCGAAGGATTATTTATAGGATTGTTCTTTCGTTAATATACAGAGCGTTCCATAGGTCGCTTTGCTATTTAAATAAATTGATAAACTAAATAAAAATTTCTTTCATAGAAAAATTCTTTCTGGAATTCTAATAAATTTCCATTTGTTGTGCTCAGACTGTTAGGAAATCTTAAAAATTTCCATTTTCATACTGTGGGATGTTAAGAAATCTAAAAAATTTCTACTTTTCATACTGCAGACTATTCGAAGACCAAATTTTCAAAATTTAAAGAAAAAAAAATTATTATACGACAGAAAAGTAATAGAAAGAATGTTATTTAATTTTTAAATGGTAAAACAACTTAATAATTCGCTCTGTGTAATAACCACCGAGACCTTAAATTAGCCGCAGATTAACATCTAGCTCGAAACGCAAGAAGAAAACAAAGTTTGGCGATGAAGAGGAGATTTTTGGATAGGAGACTATCCAGGTCGATTATCCGAGTGTACGCACATTTTCTGTCGATTATGCGATCGACCTGGATAAGAAAACGGGGCTAAGAATAATGACTGCAGATACGGAACAGTAGAAACGAGGTGAAAGGGGCGAAAAAAAAAAAGAAAAAGCTGGAATTGTTAGTAATCTCGGTGACACTGATTTTTCATTCGCGACGAGTAGTAACGAGGCGCCTGTAAACTA